CCGCAAACTCTCTATCCTGGAAATCCAACTCATCCAACTCCTTGGATACGTAAGCACGGATGTCGCGCTCTGCGACTGCTGGTGGAATATCATCCATCGACATCTGTCGAATATGCTGAACACCGTGAAACTCGTCATTAATATCACCAAGTGGGCGAGAGGTAACGATAAAGCGTAAGTTGTCTGGGAGGTCTGTGATTTTTGGAACAGCGGGGTTTTGATGTTTGCCAGCTAGAATACGGAGGAGGTCTCTCCGTGTCTCTACCCCACCGCTCTCGTCCAGTGCATCGATCACGATCACGATGGGTTCGCTAGTTGATCCAGATAACTTCTCTAGTGGTTCGATAAGAAGCTTTTGCCACTGCTGTATGATATCTGCCGTCTTCTTGAGCGAACTCGCGGTCTGAAGTGCATCTGCCAATGCCTGCCTCATCTCCGGGTAACGGTCAGCCAGATCGCGCGCGATCGTGGAAAAGATCTTTTCATGGCGATGATCTGCTTCTCGCTGGCGGTCAAAAGAGTAACAAGAACCAAGCCCTCCCACGTCTTCGAACCACTTAGCAATGGTGTGGGCGATGGCTGATTTTCCCTTGCCTGCAGGGCCAGATAGCCACAGCACGCGTTGAACGTTGTCCCCAGTGCTAGTGACCCATTCCGTGATCTGGGAAAGGATTTCCATGCGCGTACCTTGAAGGCATTGTTTTCTAGTATCTAGCCCCGCGCCCTCTGCATAAGGCATACCGCTGAGGTCCAATATTTCTTCTGAAAAAGCATGAATATATGTCAAGTCACAATGACATCCGAACCGTTACCTGTACGGTGTACATGTATGGCTATGTCGTGGACGTGTATGACTACGTCGTGAGCAACTTGGTCCCGGAAGTTTTGCATGAGTCTATCGAACATGTCACTGTACTTTTGGATCGTATCTGTTGTTTCCGAGACGACGTTCTTACCGAGTCTCTTCCCTGTGATGATGGTAGAAGCTCGAGACGGTACAGAGCACAACAGCTTGTAACACTCACAAAAGTTTCTGGTCTCTGAGTAACTTCTAATAAAATAGGCACATTCACGGGCCTGCTGAGAAAATTTTCCAAGGATAGCGCACATCGATGAGATTCGGCCGAGCATCTCGTCTTGTGTTATGAAACTGTAAACCTCACACAACTTATCGAGAAGTTTGAGTAAAGCTGCGTCGCGATCTACTTGAGCTAAGATAATCTGCATAAATGATTCCTGAGCGGTGGGAGATAGGAAGAGAGAAAATGAAAACATACTTTGGCCGCACAAGACAACACGCCCAGTGCCATCTTTGCATATGGATGTACCTGTGGAACTAGATTAGTTCGATTCCGATCAAGAGGAGGGTCCATACATCCGCGACCTTCTCGGTAACATCGTCGAATACCCTGAGGGGTTCGAGATATGTGTCCTGGAAATTATCAGCAGCATCGAGACCCGCTCGTGCGTCTTGTCCAACGGAAACCACGGTTATCGCAGGTCCGAAAAGTGGATGCATGGACGTTGCAGCCTCTTGTGCATCCCGAAGTGCCGATTGGGTACTATCAGCCTCCACTTCCACACCAGATGGAGCAACCTGAACCTGCACGATCACCAGAATTTAGAGAGAGCGCAGAGACTGGAGGGCGAGTATGAGGACCTACCGATGTCGATGAAACACATTCATGATAGACATTCTGAGGAACAGGGCTGCGAATGCGGGGATCCTTCGAGCGCTTGTTGCAATCTTAGTCGTATCTCATTACGCATGCTCGTAGACTTACCGGGATCCTTAACTGGTTCACACCGTCCTTAATCCCTCCCAGAAACCGACGAATTTTGCCAGGGGGTCGGCGCTAGACGAAGGATGTATCAATGTCAGTATTTGGAGTGGAGTCACTGGAGTGTGCTAAGTGGCCCTCACGAGTCACGTACCAAGCTTCCACGAGTTGTTGCTTCACTAGATGTGAGGGTTTCTTGACTCGAATCCCTCAATGAACTGCCTGTGCTCATTGTGAATAGCCAGCAGTTGACAATCAGAATTAGTCTGTAGCGAAATAAGGAAGGGCCCTACTAGATGCGAGTTCGCACGAGGATGTTCGAAAGTGCTCACAAAACGCTCGTGTGGGTATACTTTTTACACCTGAGACGCAGCCAACAAAGTCACGCTATTGGCAGATGCCACTATGGCGCCGGGCCTCATATCATTTATAGGCCATATGGCCATTATTAGTACAAGCCTGGAGGTGAGATTGTGACCATATTCGGCAGAGTCGAATGAAGAAATAATCTACTAATCGTTCATCGACTTCTCACTCTCGTACTACTCCAAGCTGGTTCTGACCGGTATGTCGAGACCAAGATCGATCCTATGCAGAGCAGGATATGAGGCCATGAGCGTTATCTAAGATTTATACATTATGACAGCTGCTGTTCCCGCCTCCTCACGACAAAGGCGACTGGATCTCTGGATGCTATCGTCTTTGTTCACAAGTATCAATAGCGCTCTAGGCTCCATCATCGGTCGCCAGAATCCTACTGTACTAACCCAAAACGCATCACTAGCATCATTCTTGATTCTCACTCTTCTCGTTCAATTGCACCCATCGACTCGGAACGCGACATATGCATCAACGTCAACCAACCATCTCTATGCAGCCGCCGCACCCTCTTACTCCTCAACCTTCAAGTCACATCCACTTTCCACCAGGAAGGCTGGCACTCCCTTCAAATGGTTGTTTTCACCCGCTACCTCCGGCGCGTCCTCGACACACTGCCATCGGACGGGCAGATACCCAAGACGGATGACTGCACCATCCACGTCGTCAGCGACAAGGTGCAAAAGTTTAACATCATCGCCATATCTGCGTGTCCCGGACTCTCTAGATCAGATACCATTGCACCGCTATTAAACGTAGTTCGAGGACGGGATCAATCTACATTCAGCATCATTCTTCATTTGATTCGAATACCTAGACACTGGCGATTCCTCAGATATTCATTCCCTCAACCCCTCCTCCACCTTCTCACAAAATCCACCACATCTGCTACGAAACCTGTGCCGTACATCCTTTTTCTCCCAACGTTTTCAAAGAGTAATGCTTGCCAAGGCACAGGTGCTCCAGAAGTACTCTACCGCGAGTGTGCGATTGTTAACATGCAGATACCGAGTCCTGCGACGGCTGACACTATCGGTCCACAGGTGGGTGAGTCAGTTTGCTTGGTTGGTGACGATGTTAATGATGATGTTAATGATGATGAATAGACACAGGCCATGGGCTTTGAGTATAAACGAGCTTCTGAGTCCGCAGCATATGGGACGAATACATTCCACGAGCTTCTCGAGCCATGGAGGACGATCATGTACAGCACCGAGCGGCGTGAAAATCAGACCGAGGTCTCTCGTTCAAAGCCGGTGCCTTCGTTTTGTTACTACACATCCATTGACCATTGTCTCACAGTCTTCTACTAAGGTTAGCATCCAATAAGCATGTGAATTGACCTCCACCCTACCAGAAGGAATTTTACGCGTGAAGGACATCTACTAAAACGCATCTCGAACATCTTCTCCACCAACTACAGTTACAGAACACCGTCCCTGATGTTAGTCGCAAAGGAGATGTATCCGGAGTGCGGAATCCTCACATCATTCTGGAGAGGAGATGAAGACCGTGCACCCCTTATTGCGCGAATGGTTCCGTACTCGCAATTTCGCCTTCCAACAAGATCGAATACGCAATCTCAGTGGACAGCTTCGCATTTCCTTCGACCTCTTGCGTTCAGAGGACATTGATGGTATATCAACGATGATAAAGTATCTCACGAATATGTTTTTTCAAAAAAACACCTGATACTCCTCGGCAACCGCAGACCGAGGTGAGCATACTTATGTCACGTCTGCCTACACATCAAGTGGAGCGGCGTTTCACATCATGAAAAACGCAAAAGTCGCTTAGCAAAAACTCCCTACTGACTGTCTTCGGGTGCCGATTTCCGACACTCGCCCCATTTCTGTGGAACTAGTCATATCAGTAAAGCAAAAAATTCCAAGTCAGCAACGCCAACACTGGAGTAAGATGTCGGCAACTTGCTCCATGAAATTTGGTGCAATTATCACAGAGCAGCGGAAATTCAGTGCGACTACTTATTGAGAAGAGACAGCAACAAGACGATGAAGAGACAGAAGAGTAGTTTTTGATTCTGTGGGTCCTACTACTTCTGTGGGCATGACAAACACGACAGCTAGATGTGACCTGAACATACGGGGTACCGGGTGACCCATCTTCATAGTCTTCCATAGGCAGACCAATAGAAGGAAAATAGTCGTTTCTTCCATCAAGTAGTGTCCTCGCCCGAACAGATGGGATAGTCATATTGACGGCACTAGTGATAGCCCGATAGGAACATTCCCAATTTCCCATACTACACCTGCTCTACTGTTACTCCGGCTCCACTCCAGAAAAAGCAGCACGTACTTCGCACATCTACCCTATGATTATCCAAGAAGCTCACAATCTCAAGATCCATAGCCCTGCAACCGCCCACAACTCAAACAAGCAGGCGAGCATCTATTCGTGGAGCACAAACCTGATCCGACGGTCGTGATTGAGGCCGGGATCATCATGATCAGACGCTCGCGTGCTACGCGTTCGGATGAGCACAACACCGAAGACCGATTTGAAAGTCTTTTTTTTCTGATGCTCACGAGGGTTGCGACTCCATGGGTGAACGTTAACTTTCGGAGTTCAAGTTGACAACGGGGGCTCATCGGTTTGCTGACGACGGTGTGAGATGTTGCACTTGGAGAAGTTTGTTCGCGAGCTGTTAGGGTATCGCGCGTGATACTGACGGAGGCTGACTCGGAGTCGGAAGTGGTTGCTTACTAGGCACGAGGAACTTGAAGTTGTCAGACAGGCTAATCGTTGTCAATTGTACCATGTGATGCCATTTGTCGGTAAGCCAAGTCTCGTCATTATTCACATCTCATTGGCAGGTGCTCGTCAAGCAAGTTGTTAGACAGACCGTGTGCACCTGTTGGTAGGCCAAGGATACAAGTCCTTATTTCTAGCACATATCCATTACCAGAACATTGTAGCGAAGGTGATGACCATGTCATCCGGACACACGCTTCTAAACTGGGGAAGATTCACGGTAATATCATTCGCACATCGTAAATTATTCCAACAAGATGAAGTAAGATGCAATAAATATATCATAATCGAGATGCACGACCAATCATCTTGCAGTGCGAGATACGAAGTATGGCGCATTGTCAAGTGAGTTGCCACCCAAGGCAACGGACGTATCCCTGTGATTTTCTCCAAGCAACTCCCCGAGGTACTAAACATCTTCCTGGATGAGCACGAGAGATTTTGCAGAACGGGGCTTAATAGAGCACTTGAAGGGCTTGGGGTGGCTAGGAGTGTGTTTATCCAGACCAGCACGGCAAACGACGACAAGCACAACATACCTGATTGTACCTGACGAGGGGTCAACCTCAGGGGTGATCTCGACACCATTCTCAACAACCTTGGAGATATCAAAAACGGCAAGCGACATTGCAGCAGACATCCAGACAGACGCATCAGCGAGGTGTAGACCTGTAAAATCAAACGCAAGCGACATCAGAAATGTCCTGATGATCGGCGTCCTCTTTCAGTTTAGCTTACCTGGGCAGATACTGCGGAGGACGTCAGCGTTTTGTTTCCGAACAGCAACTCAATGCTTACCGTCTACCAAACCCAAAGCAGATCGTGCGAGGATCGGTCTCAGGCTCCTTTCCTTCTTTGGCCAAGAAGCGTTCAGGGTTGAACTCCGAGGGGTTGGCATATGTCCGAGGATCATTGAGCATGAACCTGGCGCAATTCAAACCATTGAATATTTTCAACATACCGAATACCAGAGAAGGAGAGTGCTAACCAAATGTTGGGCATTATCAAAGAGCCCTTGGGAATGTAGTACCCATCATGGATGTCGTCTTCAGTAACACGGTGAGGAACAGCTGTTATTAAGATACCCCATTGTCAGCAATATAATGCTATAAACAAGATACACAGACCGGTAGGGACGACAGCGTTCCAGCGTAGGACTTCCTTCGCAAGCGCCTCAGTGTAGGGAAGGGAGTCACGGTCACCAAAGGAGGGAAGACGATCAGGACCAACAACGGCATCGATTTCAGCTTGAGCCTTCTTCTGCGCGTCAGGGAAAAGTGTCATGGCCAGGAAAAAGGAGTATATTGCCGAAACTGTCTGAGGATGGAATTAGTCTCGAAATGTCATGATTTGAAATATGTAGGTCGATTCTAACCGTATCGGCACCACCGGAATATAAGGATGCAGCAGACCACTTCACAATGTGATCCTCTTCGGCAGACAAAGTACGGCCTTCTAGCAGATTCGAGGCGAAAGATTTTGGGGCAATACCAGCAGCCTGTAAAATTAAAACTTTAACTCCTGATGAGAAAAGTACGAATATTAATCACCATCTGATCCTTGACGAACTTGTAGGGTGTAGCAACCATCTCTTCGAGGGTCTCGCGCCATTCACGTGCTGTGCGCTTGAAGCCAGCACCAGGGAACCACTCAGGCACGTTGGCCACTACAAATAGTCAGGAACTTGGAAGCAATGGTCAGAGTGCTATTGCCTTACAGGATGGCATGATGTCAACCATCCAGGCACCAGTGGCAGTGGATTTCGAGAATTGGTCGACAGCAACGTCCGCAAGGTCGATCAAGGGGTCGTTGTTCTCCTTGACTTCATAGCCATGAGAGATGCGGAGAATGATGGCGCCAGCGGTACTATACAAATTCAAACATCAAATAGCAACTAGGAATAAGGAAAGACAGCACATACTGTCGCACGTGTGCTTGGAGTTGGTCAGGTTTGGCAAGTACACGCTTCAGGAATCGGCGAGTCTCAATGTCCTCGATCGGATGGTATATATCCATGGAGGCACGACTGCCAATGACGCGATGGAAATTTTTGCGGTACTCGCGCAGATGGTCACCATAAGGGAGAAGAACGAGAGTGTTCTTCCAGCCAATAAGTTCACCACCCATAGGAAGGATAGGACGATCAGAGTAGACAGAGCTCTTCTTGTCCAGCATTTCCACCGCAGCCTTCACAGAGTTCAGGACCATGATGTGCTGACCCAGAACCTCTACGTGTGAGATGTCGCCTGTGCGAGTGGTCAGAATGCATGATTTCGGCAGAGCAGGAGACACGCACCATATTTCTTGCCCCACTCAGTGAAGGTGAGCCAAGGCTTGACCTGAGGCATGTCTGGGATATTCCCGACGAGAGGACGCCCCGGGGGACCAGGGGGGTATGGTGCGGGATTCTTCTGAGAGAGTACCTGCTTGACCAGATACACTCCGACGCCGGCAAGACATAGGTCCAGCCAAGTGATGTTAGTGAGTGTCAACATGGTTTGTGATGAGTGAATAAAGAGCGGCCGGGTGAAAGATAAGAGATTTCAATGGAGTGTCTGGAGTTGAAAAGGGAGCGCAGGGTGGAAAGAGCTAGTTTGGAAGTTTAGCTGTCAGGTGCTATTGCGTGCAGCATGTATTATATTTGCGTACAAGACCTTCCTCAATTCGTCCCAATCTTCCGGAAGCATGAGAGCTGATAATGACTGGTCGTAACAGTAGTCGTAACATGGGTGTTGTCAACCGGAGAATTGGGTCAACTTTCAGGCACCCGCGGGTCAAAATTTGCCGTCGCTTTTTGCGATCATATCCTCCGAGCTCCCACGGACCACCCGCCTCCTCTGACCATCCTTTATATGGTCTTCTCACTAGTACAAAGGGCGCCGCAGTGTCAATCATTGCTGCCAACTAAAGTTCTAGCTTTTCAGGGCAATCCGTCCATCATATGTACCATCTCAGATAGATCTTGGAGAAATAACACATCGTGGCACAAAATAGCATTACGTAACAGTTTCTCCAGTGCAAATCTGCGTATTAAAATGCGAGTTCCAAATTCGTGCTCAAGTAAAATGTAAAAAAGGACCTCATGCACCGCTGGTATGGTATACGAAGGAATAGTAGCTCTTCCAATGACCAGATTGGTTGCAGATCACATGTTACAGTACTTACAATCAATGCAAAGAACGATGCAAAAAAGAATGATACCAATGTTCTACCAATGTATGGGGTGGTACATTTTGTGCTTCTTATCGCCCTCGTGGCGTTCATATCCGAACCGACTAAACTGCCTGAGCACTTTTAAGTTCTGTTGCAGATGAGTACTGCCGTCCATGCGGATCAGCGATAGATCGTGGCCCAGATAAAAAAGAAAACTAACCTCGTCCCGAACATACTCCTGCGTGGTATCAATCTTAATCGAGATGTTGTTCGGTAGCCGCTGATAAGATTCGATGATAGGTGAGCCAAGCCCTTTGCAAAAAAAATTCATCGAACTAACCTTTTGCGAAGTACCAATGCTATTAGAAGTTTTCTGAATTCCTTGGAGCGAGAGCGACATATTTTCGTCTCGGGAATCACCACGAAGACTCTTGCGTGCGTTAAGGGTCGCCAGCAGGGAGTTGCAGTAAACTGAAAATCATGTCGTCAGTCTCATAAACTGTATAATGCAGCTAAATAATACTTACGACGACCCAAGCAGAAATAAAATGCGATATAAATGAAAGTGTTACCCCACACTGAAATCTGTGCCACATCTGGGTCAGGAGCGCAACACAGGATATTCCCGATTTGCTACGTACAGAAATGAGGGACATGACCGCGCAAATGCTGGTGAGGAGACCGGTGTTGATACTGAACAGAATCAGCTTATTGATCATGGTGTCGGACCTCCTGAATCCAGTGCGAGATTGTTGAAGGAGTGTGCAGAGGAATACGGCGATGAGGACGTCTCCAGCAGCTGCTAAAGCGTTCACAGACATAGACAATGGCTTGAGCGTGGAGAGTTCCACGAATGTCGTCATGTGAATACTAGAGAGGTGGTATGCATTAACCAGACTGAGTGGCGTATTCCTACACGACTTACGATTTTGCAACGTATACTTTAGATATTACATTAGTGGACAGTTTCCTGGAAAAAGGAGCGCATACTCACTGACGACAAGGACAAATTCACCAATGACAAGGGACAGTACAGACACGGTTGCAATTATACTTTTGTTGCTTACTGGCTAAAAGTAAGCAAACATTCACTGGTGGATAAATACCACAACATACGCCTGTACACACGCATGGTAAGGAAGCTGGCAGGACGATCAGCACGAAACGTTCTTTTCGGAAAGATCTCACACCAACCTTTGAACCATAAGCGCTGTGAAGCCATTGAACAAGACTTCGACCTATCACATCAAACAAACATTGAGACAATGACCACAGACCAATGGTACGCAACTTACAATTAGACTCCAGACAAGTTTCCCGAGGTCAGCGGCAACACCGAAGTCAGTTACAAGATAAGTATACACTATCAGGACCTGATATTCAGCCCCGAGACAAGCACAGCTTGTATCACGCGCTCACCTGTGTGTGTGATCAGAGCCTGATGTACCGAGTCTGATACAAGTACAGCGCCAACCTAGATTAAAAAATCCCGTTGAATGATGGCACGCATTTAGATCATCATACATAAACTTACTAGAAGCTTGATGTACCACGGATCCGATGGGTACCGGCTATAGTAGTACCACGTCTGCACACAAGTGACTTTGTGCAATCATAAACACTGGGCCAACAAATGAACAGCACATTAACATACCACCGTAAAGCCTGTAATATACAAGTTCCTGTTTGAACACATCGCTTGATTCAATAAATTTGAGCACTTACGTGGCAGAAATTACGACTCCAATCAAGAATGCACCAAAACTGGACAATGATTGTTCAGTCATTAGTATGTAGGGGATTCGAAGTATACACACGTATTATCCAGTGCACCCATGGTAGAGATGTATGTGTCTGAACGAATGCGGATAAGGGTGCTGATGAAATATCTGGCGTAGGGGGGACGGACGGTCGGTCGCAACAGCTGGAACAACCTTTTGTATGATTAGATTCGCTGGCCAGCTGTTTTTGGAAGATGCCGTGAAGAGTGAAAATTGCGAAGTGACAGGTGCTTCCGTCTAAAGCTGACGCTGATGGGCCGACCCGAATCTGATTCAACGACACATGAGGCCCGCAGGTAGCTTCCAAATCGCAAGTTGCCAGAATTTCCGCATTAGACGCTATTAAACACACTCTTCCTCCACAGACCTAAGCGCCGAGACTCTTCTCAGGGCTGCCAACTTTAGAATGATCATTACTAACCTCCAGCACTGACAGAGAAGCTTATTCGTTGAACTTTGACAGTTCGTAATATTCAGTACATAGTAGCCTTGGTTTGAGTGCACCATGAAGGGTCCACTGCATCACCGATCAGCGCAGCTCGCGCGTTGAAACTGAAGTTAAAATTTTCAATTTTTGGGGTCTCTTCAATGGAAGGCTTCCGTTATGATTGCGCGAAGGCTTGGGAATCGCCGGATTTCGTTCGGTTGCATCGTTCTTCACTAGGAAACGCGGACATCCGATCCGGGCCGTCAGAAATAGGCAGTTTGCACACGATCCCAACAAGATCTGTCTGCGAGAAATCACCCTGAGATAACTGTCAAAGGCACAAAGGGCAACCCACAACGTCACCATCTTCCCAGCGTCGCTCAAACAGGTCTTATCAGTTTCGTACGTATACTCCATCGCGGGCCTCCAATGAGACGACAAAAGAATCAGCCTACAGTGCTAGGAAAATCTACAGTTAATGACGTTAGTTTCTAGACCTGGCTGAGTAGACATGAGAGTACTTCAAATCTGACATGTCGATCGATAACCAACAGAGAGCGGGATGTGCAAAAAATTCGCACAAGTTGTACTCTCATGTTCGCGCTAGGTACTGTTGAAGCCTAGAGCTCGAGAGCAGTTACATTAAAATCAGCATGATGAAATGATGAACCAGGCCGGCGGCGGCGGCGGCCGAAGTATGGCCCTGACAAGAGGACTAATACCAGGTTGGCTTGATTGGCGCCCAATGAACAGAATTCCGACGTGTATATGTTCTTGGAGACTTGTTGTTTTCTCCCATCAGAGCAGTCTGTCATGGTTGGTATCAAATGTGCGAGCGCCGAGATACTGCCAGGGCTCGCCTAGTGAAAGATTGTTACCCGTGTTCACGCCAATGCGGTTTGTGATATCTTCACGAGATTATGATACGGTTTGAGCCAGCTAGTTGGCAACGGGTGTGCGAGTCGTCGGACGTCGACAAGGTTTGGTGTTCAACTATTCAGTGGAAGTTGCCGGTTGAAATAGAGTCGCGTGAGTCTATCTTAAAGTTATGATCCCGTCGTTCACTAGCACTAGCGGCTACAATTTGCTGATAGTGTTTGAATCAAGATTGAGGACTAGGCTTAGCGCAGACTAGCACTTAGTAGACTTGGCTAGTAGCGCTGGCCCTTCGAGGATCAGGGTTCAGAACAAGTACTCGACAAAGGGTAATTAATGTGCGGTGGCGTCGTCAACCATTCTAAGTTATTGACCTGGAGGACTTTGAAATTTTGATATGGGCTGGTACCCTGACATGCGCTAGTTGGAGGTTTTAGCTCAGGGTTCACCCCATAGAACAAAGGGCGCGATAGTGGCTAGTAGGAGCGACAATCGGCATCAAGTCACATCATTCAGGGTGGTTAACTAGGAGGTGTCAGTGGACGAGTCCGAGTTGAAAGTTTTGTAATTTGTAATTTGAAGGTTAGAAGCCTCTGCATAATACGACCAAATAACACCTCCGAATTTGTACGTGTCAAAAAAGTCCAATTATACTGTCCGAGACTGAACACCATGGCACTGGCAGTAAGCTTCCGACCCCACTTTTCAACGGAAATTATACTCACTGAATTTGCAGAGCTGCTGCTCTACTCTTCTATGCTCAACATCAAAATTGGCTAGCGCACGGTAAGCAGCATGTTTGAAAAACTTCATTCGAATGCTAAATTCTACTTGCAGCATTGTCCTAGCTAGCCGGACAAGATGGTTGGCAACAGAATCTGTATCGTCGTCTGCAGCAACTCCCCCGCCAAGTGACCCGAAAATTGGCCGCATAGTGGATGACATCTCTGGACTGACACTACTGCAGGCAGCTGACCTCGTCACGCTCTTGAAGGTTCCATCCCTTCTAAACATATTTCAACTATTACTCACGATGACGCCCAAAGTCGCGGCTAAATATACAAGAAATTGCTATGCCCGCTGCTTCAGCTGCCTCACCCGCCGCCGCCGCCCCAGTTGAAGAAGCAGCAGTGGAGGTGGGAAATGTCCCATTAAGAAGGTGTATTCATTGACAAAACTAAACCGAGCAGGAGAAACCGAAGGAGAAGACTATCTTCAATTTGAAACTTCAGTCCTTCGATACTGCAGCGAAGCCCAAGATCATCCGTGAGGTCAAGGCCCTGATCCCGAACCTTACGCTCATCGACGTGAGTCTCGGCGCATCCTCATTAAAGGTATATTTACACTAACTCGGTGTTAGGCGAAGAAGTTTGTGGAGTCTGTACCACAAGTCCTCAAGGAAAATATGCCCAAAGAAGATGCGGATAAACTAAAAGCGGTTCTCGAAAAATTGGGGGCAGTAGTGGTGCTTGAGTAGATCATCGGGTCTTGTGTATAGAGCATGTTCAGGTTATAATCCATTTACTATAATTAAGAAGTAGGGTCGCAAGTTAGTTCGAATGTGTTGCAGCGAAGCCCTAGATCATCGATCATCCATGAGTGGCCCTGATCCTGGACCTTACTCATCGACCGTGAATCTCGGCGCATGCTGAATTAAGTAGATGTTTACGCTAACTTGGTCTTAAGCTTGGAGTCTGTACCACAGGTCCTCAAGGGAGACATCCAAAGACGATGCGTGGTTCAAGCCATAATTCATTCACTATAATTATGAAATAGGGTTGCAAGTTAGTACGAATGTGATTGGCAAGACTGTCCAGTAGTGGCGCTTATCGCGATACATATGGTCACGGCGGGAGCGATGACAAAAAAACAGGGATAACAAGGCCTCAAAGAGCGAAAAAATTCTTCAATCCTCGGAAAGATAACGATATTCAAACCGGAAATCGCTCTTCTTGCGCTGGCACCATGATCCCTCCCAATCGAAGTAAACGTAGACGCCTTGTTCGTATTCTTCTGTTATGGCTTGCGGCTCCGAGTGTCGCTGGAACCATGTCATGTATTTGACATGGAATCGCCACGATTGGCGCTTCAATTCTTTCGCGGCCATATATCTAGAAGTTACGTGAGCAATTTCTATTGAACGTAAGATTGCTCTCGTACTGCTGGTATGTTCCCGGCAGGTAATAGAAGACATAGAAGAGAGTCTCTACGTCTATCTGGGAAAATATGCCTGGAGTGCTCAGAATAGGATGAGGAGCCTGAGGATAGAATGTTGGGGTGGCAAAGGGATTCCGTGGCACATAGTACTTTGGTCTGGATGAACAACACATTAGCCCCTGTCAAACATACTTGAATCGAAATGTCGCACTTCTCGGTGTCCTGTGGCTGTGGGACATTTGAGTAACCGCCTTCAAGAAGTTTATGCACCTCTCCGAGGTTTGTCATACGATGAGGAGCTGGTTATCCATAAGAATTTTTACACAAACAGGGTCCGAAAGACAAACCTTTCTGCTTGACTGTTTCAAACGATGCCACAAGGTCTGATAGAGAGCCAGGGAATGTGCCTGAAGCAACTGGACGTGAAGGAGGATGTGGCAGTTGCTGAGCTGGTGCCGTTGAAGGAGGCCTTTGCGAACCTCCAATGGGCTGCTGGACAGCTTGTATCGGGGCCGGTTGTTGTTCTACACTCTGTGGGACCTTTATACCCGGGGGATACTGTTGCACCTGCTGTGTTACAGAGGTCGAACTTGAGGGTGGAGTGGGAAGTGCCGATGGGGCTATTGTGACCTGATGTATCTGTTGAGGTAGTGGCGATGACGCTGACGCAGGCAACTGCGTGGGGGCTTGAGTAATCTGTGAGGCTCCATTGGTGACCAGTTGGAATTGTGGCACTGCCGACGCCGATGCTGGTGGCTGTTTACGTTTCATCAGGTTTCATCGTGGGCACAATACCGGCAAACACTTACTGGTGCAGCAGGCGAAGGTGCCCTGGCGAGGTGAGGTGACGGTGCAGGCTCTAAACAAAAATTACCTCTGTCCTCATGCTCCTGGCACAAAAAACATACCTTTCTGTTGTCGCTGCGGCGATGATGTGGCCGCAGGACCGCTTACAGAGCTTGGAACAGCCTCCGATATTGCTGGTGAATCTTGTCCGGAATAGAATGACCCGTCCTGCTGATGTGATGCAGCAGATGATAGCATTGGACTCGTGACTGATGGATGCGTCAAGCTTGGCGAGGATGTGAATTGCGAATCTTGCAGGCCACTTTGCGAAGCCGACGGCGTTATCGAAAGTGTAGATGTCGTTGCTTCAGGGAAACTCGTTGACGGCGTGGGTGGAATAGGTTGTGATGTCGAGGGCGTTGGGGGCAATACGCCATTCTGCTGAGAAGATTGCGGAGTGACAGCAGCAGCTGCTGCTGCAGCATAGCGGATCGGTGGAAGCGCCGGTGGCCGTGTGGTTGTCGGTTGCAAGTTAGCTCGTAGAATGCTCGCCATCGGCTGTTGTGCAAAGTTTGGATTTGGCGGTGGTTTGACTTTTCGGACGAACTTTGAGTATCACTACCCAAATGAGAATAAAAACAGACAGACCTTCAGTTGCAATTGATGGTTCTGGTAGTGCCTGGTAAGTCATAGCTGCAATGTATGAACCAACACGTACTCCGTAATTGGAGTGTCACTCCAGCCTTCTTTTGCACGGGACTTTCGTCGCGTTTACTGCTCGCAACACTTTCCTCATCCTTCTCATGTCGCTTGTTCGGCGTTCGTGGAGGAAGGTCTGCCAAAGTCAATTCAACAGGAGTAGTATAGGTAGCAAATACATACCATCACTTGCGGCATCCGACTCGTCGCTATCTTCATCATCGTCACCAGCCAGACCAAACTGTTCTTCCTCTTCTTCAAGATTAAGTTCGTCGTAGATGCCCTCATATTCATTGAAGTCCTCGTCCTGCACCCAGAAAACGCCTTAAAAGGTCTCAAAGTAGAACATACTGCTGCGCAACGAACCGTGTTGCTTTCCACGAAATATTGTACATCTTCCTTGAGAGCCTGTACACGATCCGTGGTCAAAGAACCATTGTCCAGGAGACGAAGAATGAGTTCGAGTCGGTTGACGTGCCATTTTCGACGATCATTGAGGTGTTCTAGATCTTCCAAACGACCAGCAGATGATGAACTACCCTTTCCGCGTTTCTTGCCGCCCCCGCCTTGGAGTGTCTCAATTTCCGCTTCTGCTTGTTCTACCTGCAACAAAAGATCCTCGACCTGCGACTGAAGCCACGTCGTGACCTCGAGCTTCTCTTGAGCTTTAGGATCCAGTTTGGCCGACTGTATTAGACCCTCTTTGGAGAACGCCTTTGTCTTCATTTCCTTCTCGCAGGCCTTGAACTTCTCCATTTGCTATATACACAAATATGAGTAATAAATCCTCGGAAGAGTCACAGAATGGGAAGGCGCGTATGGGGATGACACGGAGCAACGGACACGTACAGTTTCTATTAGTCTCCGGTTTTCCAGTAGTGCGGACTTGTCTTTGATGTCATTGCTTGCTACCCAGGCCTTGATCTGGTCGCGTAACCGCTGAAGCTTCTTTATTTGTGTTTTCAAGTCAGTCTCCAGTTTCTCCTTCTGCGTCTGGTTTGTAGAGGCCTGCATCTTCTCATATATGCTTTCGAAGACCTCGACGCCTTCGCCGACCTTCTTTAGTGTACGGTCAATTTCGGCTATGAAAGATATGATAAAATTGAATAAATGAAGCTGCAAAGGTTAACAAAAACGTACTTTGCAGCTTTCTGGCCGCCATTACGAAGAAAACACAAGTGAATGAAAATACAATTGACGAATATCAGCTAGTTGCAACCTTGGATCTATGTTTGGGGTAGTAAAATTGACAATTATTTGGCTCATAAAGATTACATAAACACGGGATGGAACTCCTTAGAAAATTTTCAGAATCAGAGTTCTACGAACATCGAGCTCGACGGTTTCAACGACTTGCTACGACTTTGAAGCATACCACAGTTTGTAGTCTGTTGTGAACAATATTAGCATACTAGCCAAGCTCCGGATAGTTGGGGCTATTATCAGTGTGAGAAAATTCCCCTAAAGAGGTTATTAACAAAAGCATTGAAATCATGTATTTGAATTTGAATTAAGTCTCTGTTCTGAACCCTCGTCTGCTCCGCTGTCTCTTGTATACTTCTTATGCTCATGAAATCCCTACGTAAATCTCTCAACGGACACCGAGAAATCCACCGTCTTGAAATCTCTACCCCTCTACCGCTACCTTCTGTATCTAAACCTCAGACTGCTTCTCTACCCCCTCAAAAAGTAATTCGTGCAATCGCATCATACAGACCACAGGGCCCTCAGCAGCTCCCTTTTCAAAAGGGTGATTTTTTCTATGTTACAGGAAATGTAGAAAGTCAGGGGGATTGGTATGATGCCCATAATCCTGTAACCGGGGCTAGAGGTTTGGTCCCAAAATCTATGTTCGAAGAGTTTTGCAAGAGCCCAGCGTCAGTACAATTTCACATTTACTAATCTACACGTTAACAATCTATACAGTATACGCACTTCTAGTATCAGCGTCGCAGTAAATAGTTCTACCCTCCCTAGTCCAACATCTCCTCCAAAGTCCCCAAAAGCACCTGCATATTTTGCAATAGTTCTTCACGACTTCATAGCGGAGCGCGCCGACGAACTTGATGCCAAGTCCGGTGATTGCATAACGGTAGTTGCCCAGTCAAACCGCGAATGGTTTGTCGCAAAACCTATTGGTCGACTTGGCCGACCAGGTTTAATCCCCGCCTCTTTTGTGGAAGTTCGCAATCCTACAACAAATCTCCCAGTAGAGGATGTCAACGCTTTGATTGACAGTGGAGATCTGCCAGGTGTCGAAGAGTGGAAGAAGGCCGTATTCAATTACAAAGCAAACAGCATATCACTCGGCGTCATAGAGGAACCATCTGCCCAGCGTTCCAGCACACAACCACAACCTGTATCCGTAACACCTCCCCGTGCTTCCTCCCCCGTCCTCTTACCCGAGGGCATCCTATTATCAGCCGACGTTGTCTCCTTTCACAATGAGATGGATGAGTACTGGTTCCGCACAGATGCCATCTACCAACCTTATGATCCCCACGACCCTCAAACTCTTCCAAAAGCCAAACAGCTCGTCCTATTCCGGGTATATAATGACTTCTTCGATTTCCAAGTTAATCTCTTGCAGGCATTCTCTCGCGAAGCCGGGCGAGAACCGGACTCCGTCCGGATACTACCCTTCATGCCTGGTCCCACCGAAGATGTCGACGACGAGGTCACTGCTGCCCGACGGGAAGAGCTTGATGAGTATCTTCACAAACTCTGTGCCTTAAACACGGTTGGTGCCAGCTATATTCTTGAACACCAGCTTGTGCGCGAATTTTTGTCGCTCAAACCTGGAGACGTGGAACATGATATTGATCCTCGCTATGACGAGGTCAGGGCACTTTTTGCCGAAGAAGCCACGGGCGAACAAACCATAACGCAGGAATTTGAGGAGGAAGTTCGCGATACGCTTGGGGAGATGAAATTGTCAGATAGAGATGATCGGAGTGAAGGCTCGGACTATGGGGAGGACCACACACCCCCTACTCATATTATGTCTCGTGACTCACAAACCAGCGTAACCCCTCAACCTCATCGACCAAATACGGCGACATCACATCACCGCACGGGGTCCCGGTCCAAACAAAACGGACGCTCGTCTCCGTCATATCCACGTCTCGATACTTCCCGTGCAAGCGCGTCCTCTCGATCATCCTTTGCCTCCAACTCCGCTTGGCCAGAACACGCCACTCCATCTCCATCATCTCCCGGTTCGTCACAGCCATCTATCGCTATGTCCTCCCGATCTCGTTCCCTATCAAACGCCACTAATATGAACGCCCCTCCAATGTCCGCTGGTAATTCCCAGACAGCCTTCGTCAAGATCAAAATATTCGATCGTGTCACTGATGACCTGATCGCCATTCGCGTACATCCTCGCGTGACACACGCTGAACTCCTGGAGAAGGTGCAAGCACGATTAGGCAGCAACGTGCTCAATCTTCGATACCGCCACAGTTTCAGCAACGAATTCATCGGCATCGACGACGACAAAGACTTGCGAGAGTGGTTGGATAGCACGGAGAAGCATGTTTTGTACGCTGAATAATAATAATGACGGATGGACCGTTGTGTAATCTGTTTTTTTTTTCGTGTTGGTTGTTGTGAAAGTATCAAATTACTTATATTTTAGACTTTTTATTGTATTCGTCTTCTTTTTCCTCTCTTTATATCTCCATCTCTGATTTCTTTTTTATCTGTGTTGGTAAATGTATTCTGTAGTTTGTTGTTAGGAGTAGCCTGTCTCTTTTATGCATGCCGGTGTACACCAGTGTACACCTTGTTAGCGGTTCCAAAACCTTTGCCAGCATCCGCCTTCTCAGTTACAATCTTCTCGCTAAGCCCCTTTTCCCCCTACATGGTATCCTGTTATGGGATGTTCTGGAGTTTCACGTTGGCCTCTGTCTGGTGCCCGAGTCTTGCCGCAGCAATTGAAGTAAATAATTTGTTTGTTCCACCTAGACATCGACACAAAACAGGAGCACACGCAAACTATACACGATATATGGTTCAGTCTGCCACCTTCAATTCTTCCACATTCAGCTTTCAAGTCATCCTCGGTTGCATTGGATGAGCCAACGACTGAAGGAGAGTCCATCGATGAGGCCTCAGCGAGGCCGGGAGGTTACATCGTTTTCCTGATTGTCAGACTCACTCTGTCCCTAGCTTGCGTGCACTAATGTTTCTGGCCTTCAGCCCTATTAACATTTTCCGTTTGGTGGTGAATCCCATCAGTCTGTTAAGAATCTGGGTTGGCACGTACGCACCTCCAAGCGAGGATATATCTTATCGACCTTCACGAGGCGTGAAGGTGAAATCCTTTGCGTGAACGGACTATCACGCGCAATTGGAATGAGTAGGCCTTGTTAAAATAGCCTCCAGGATCTATACACCACAAAAATATTGTCAGCAGGTTTGGACCAATTCCAGGAGAAACAAATTTTAACTCTGGTAACTACTTGGCTAAGACTAGTTAGATGAACCTCTGACAAAACCAGCCATGAGTGAATGTGAAGGTGTGTTCTGAGAGAGAAAGAAAAATAGTGATTTAGCAGGTTTCGAACCTGCACAGTCCAAGAGAAACAGATTTTGATTCTGTTGCAGTAACCACTTGGATAATACTAGTTAAGATGAGCCCCTGAGTAAACCATCCATGAGTGAATGTCAAGGTGTGTTCTGATAGAAAAAATTGTCACCGGAAGGTTTCAAACCTTCGCGGTGCAAGAGAAACAGATTTCAATTCTGTTGTGGTAACCACTTCAGCCAGGACACAGTTGAGATGGTGAACCTCCGAGGAACCATTGATGAATCGATGTCAAGGCGAGTTCCCATAGAAAAAAACCTTGTCATCAGCAGGTTTTGAACTTGCGCAATCCAAGAGAAACAGATTTTGATTCTGTTGTGGCAACTACTGGGGTAAGGCTATTTGAGATGGACCTCCGTGGAAACCATCCATGGCCGACAGCGAATCTTCAAGGCACGCTCCAATAGGAAAAAAACTGTTGTCAGCAGGTTTCAAACCTGCATTAGCAAGAGACAGATTTAGATTCTGTTGTGGTAACCACTTAGCTAAGACTAGTTAATATGGACCTCCGAGGAAATCACCCATGGGCGAATCTTGAATCAATGAATCAAGCAAAGATTTCGAAATAGTGATTCATTCCTTACGTAATTTGCATTGGAAACACTTGGAACCAATCACGACCAAACAGACCTTCTCATCAGTTCACCGACATGTCCTTCGTTCGTTATGTGCGGAACATCCGCAGAACAGGGATCAAACAATGGTGGCATCAATTGCAATACATTGGAGATGCAAAAGCTGGAACGCTCGTCGGCACCGACCAGTAGGTGCTTGCCCCACATTCCCCCCAGAGTTTGACCGCTCGGATAGATTCGGTAACAAGTACTTTGAAAACCTGAACTCGGATGATGAAATTCCAGGTGCGTAATGCGTTTGTGTGCTTCGACGTGACATTTGATTTGAAGCTTTTAATAGGGCGTCATAGATGGGTAGACTTTGCTCAGGTATGTTCTCGTTCGTCTTTAATTGGATGAAAGCGGGTATAACAGTATACTGTCTCTAGCATTACAACAATGCTACTCAGGTCCCGCCTGAATGGCATTCGTGGCTATCGCACATTCGGTTACAACCACCTACGGAGGATGCTGTCATGCAGAACATGACTCCGCCATGGAAAGCGGTGTGTAGCTACCGTGCACTTCGTTTCTTTCGTGTCTAATTTCAGAACAGCCCTGGGTAGAGACCCTGACGGGCACGAGAGGCGCCTATCGGTCGTATAACACGGTGAAGCCTAAGATTAATGCTTGGGAGCCGAGGGTTATAACACGGGGCGAGGCACGTTCTTAGGTCAATTGTACGGAGCCAAGTCATTCTATATATACCACATCCTACTGTGAGATATGAATATGCTCTGGCTCAATGACATCATCTACGATGTGCTCAGCGATAGCAAGGCTAGATGTCAGGCCAGGGCTCTCAATACCCATCAAGCTGACCATAAGTCCTCTCTTACTTCCATCCGCATAATCCTTCCGAATAGTAAAGTCTTGGAATCCAGACAACACCAACTTGGGACGGATTCCGACATAGTCAGGTCTGAATCCTTCAAACGATACCCCTGGTAGGTATTCAGTCACCGCTCTGTGCATCTCTTCTAGCCTAGAATCGCTGGGTTTTAGATGCTTCCGCCAAAAATCCGCGTTTTCCTCATTAAAATCGTATTCTGATGCATCCGCCAGAGTGGGCGGTGATATCCATTCCAGGTCTGGCCCAAACCGCACTTTACCTTGTAGGTCAAGGGTCAGATGCGTTCCGAGCGATTGGAAGGCGTGCTTGTTGGGCCCAGTTTCAGGGCATGGGTATATGAGCCGATTAATATGAGATATGCCCGGACCGCTGTAAGCCGCGTACGAGCCCCGACCGAAGAACATGGGTATACGTGATACCCCGGGCAGCAGAGAATTTGGAATGAGATTGGCGGAAAGGCCAGACGCGTTGATTAGGGTGCGAGCGAGTAGGGAATCTCCTTGCTCGGCATTCTCGGTGACAGTCTGAACTACCCAGCCCTCTTCTGAGCTAAGCATAGAGGTCTCTTTGCTCTTGTACGGATCTACACGGACGACTCGAGTAGAAAATACCAACTCGCCTCCCTCCGATTCTAATATATCCCTTTCCAGACTCTCCATGAAGGAGTGGGAATCGACAATGCCTGTCTCTGGACTCCATAACGCAGCAGTTATGTCCGGCGAGAGATCTGGCTCAAGTTCGCATGCTTGCGCACCGCTTATGAGCGAGACAGGAAGCACTTGGTCTTCGGCTCCATGAGGCGGCGAGTGCTTGGGCCATGATAGTTGTCTGGCCTTTGCGAAGAGGCTCTCGACGTATGCACGCTGGTGCTCGCGTGCTACCACGAGTTTGCCGGTCTTTTTGTACGGGATGTTGTATTTGTCGCACCGCTCGTACATGAGGTGCCTGCCTCGCAAACATAGCTGCGTCTTAAGTGATTCTGGAGGATAGTAAAGTCCTGAAAAGTCGCCACATCAGGGCACACGGACACAGTTGCACATCGCAAGGTGAGCTCACCAGCGTGTACGACTTCTGAGTTACGAGAGCTATACACTCGTAGTCAGCGTGGAGTGAATATCATAATAGCACCTATTTCGCTCGCCTCGTCTCTTCGCCAGCGTGTGGATGTCTCTCAACTAAGTATGTTGATTTCGTCGGAAAGCGCTCGGATAGTCGCTGGGCAACAGCCAAGCCTACGACACCTGGCCATGGATAAGTGTCAGCGCGCTACGAAGATTGCGCGGGACGGACCTCCGCCCACGACCAGGAAATCTACCACTGCATCTGGACTCTGAACGAAGATAGTGTAAAAAACTTCAGGAAACTCCCTAAAGCTCAAGCTCACCTTGTATTTGAAGCGTCCCGTCGAGTTTAGCGAAGCCACCAGCCCTCGTACTTTGGTCGCTGCCATGAAGGCTTCAGCGTCCAAAGCGCGCCTGAGACTGATTTTTGGTCAGGTGGTGTTCGGTTAATCCTGCTCGGCCCAAATGATCTTATCATATCTCTTTGTTTGTCACTTAATACTTTTGCTCAGTACCAAGTCTTGCACTACCTTAATACACACTACTGCTGACGCCAACTCAACGGCCGCTCGTCAAGAAAATCAAAATGGCTGCCGTATTTCCACAGTCGGCGGAGTCCCCTTTGGAGGAGAAGATAGCTGCTCTGCAAAGCACCCCGCTCTTTATGAAATCTCTGCCCCCGGAAGGATCTGATGACCCTGTGATTCAAGCCTTACAAAGCCTCGCCTTCGACGGAACGCCAGATGGTGGGTAAGAACCTTTTCTTCTCTACCGTAACACCTCGCGAACAAGTTACTTCTTCAAGAGATCGCTCAAAATTTCAAAGAGCAAGGAAACGACTACTTCAAGGGAAAACGCCACCGAGAAGCAATAAGCTTCTACACGCAGGGAATTGATGCCAAGCCATCTGATATTGTATTGCACGAAGCTCTGTTATGCAATCGTGCCGCGTGCAACCTCGAACTAAGTGAGGAATTGGGCTACTGGCTTGATAACGAGGATCTAACCAATTCGAAGAGAACTATGGTTCCGTGCTCCGAGATTGCTCGAAGGCGCTCACACTGAATACGAAGTCTTCAAAGGCTTATTACCGCTCCGCTATGGCATTATTCGCGCTAGAGCGCTATGAAGAGTCCATCGATTGTTGCGAGAGGTGTCTGGAGTACGACCCAGAGAACAAAGGTGTTAGGACAGTCCGCGATCGTTCCGCAGAGGCGAAAGCAGAGAAACTCCGCAGAGAGAGTGAAAAACAGGAACGATTACAGCGCGAACAAAAAGAGAAGAAGCTCCTGCAAATAGCATTCAAGGTACGTTCTATCTCGGTCTCGTCACCGGTCGCCTGATCATGCTTCAGGAACGACATTTATTTGCCGTCTACAACCCGAAAGGGTCATCGGAGAACCCATACGAACCTCATTTTGATCCAGAGGACCCTGAAGGAACGACGTTGATAATCCCCGTGTTCTTCTTGTACCCACAATATGCGACATCGGACGTCATAGCACATTTTGTCGAAGATACCACCTTTTCGACTCATATTGTTCAAATGTTTCCGCCGCAAGCGCCTGCACCCAGCTGGGATAAAGCTGGGAAGTACATGGCGAACACCCTCGTGGTTTACGCAATAACAAGAAGGAAGCGGCTACTCAAAGTTGGCAAGAAGATGACATTGAGGGACGTGTGCAATGCCGCGAAGGCGAAAGAAGGGGAACCTGATGATGGATTGGAGTTAAAAGATGGGTGTTTAACGTTTATTGTTGTTCCAAAGGGAGAGGTAGAGCAGAATTGGGTAGATGAATTCAAGCGGACACGAGACGGCTAGACAGCTCATAATTGAATAGGGGTGTTTCCAATTTTAGAAGCACGTGCACATGAATGTGTTGGTCACTGTTTGGCGCGATAGCTAGACACCGTAAGGTAAGACCCATCGCAAAAAAAGACATCGACGAAGGCGTCAAGCTCGGTGAGTACGAATTGCTGCTTGTTGTGGTGTTCAACGGTGCAGGATGGATGTGCACATCGAGCTGCGGAGCAAAAATCGCGGTCGAATCACTTTGATTGGGTGGATGCAAGTTATGAGAAGTGGATGCTGACCATAAGATCATCTACTACAGGGCCTCTATTCTAGCCATGTCTGTCAACCACAAGATCCTCCGTACTGCAAATGCACCCACTACCTCCCCTGATGAAACCGAGGTTTCCGTCGCTCAGGCCCTAATCGACCTAGAGAACAATGTGCCTGAACTCAAGACTGAGCTCCGCGCTCTACAGATTTCTGCCGCCCGTGAAGTTGATGTACGAGGTGGAAAGAAAGCTATCGTCGTGTTCGTTCCCATTCCCCAACTGAAGGCATTCCACAAGGTGCAGCAGAGGTGAGGATGGTTGTCTTAGTGGGAAGGTGCCATTGTAATCGGTCTCCATCCCGCAGACTCACCCGTGAGCTGGAGAAGAAATTCTCTGACCGCCACGTCGTTTTCGTTGCTCAGCGTCGGATGTTGAGCAAGCCTACCCGTAACTCGCGGGTGAAGCAAAAGAGACCTCGCTCTCGTACACTCACCAACGTACACGAGAAGATCCTTGAGGACCTTGTTTTCCCAACCGAGATTGTTGGCAAGAGGACTCGCGTATCTGTGGACGGATCAAAACTTTTGAAAGTGTAAGTGGCGTGCTTTACGATGGATTGACGTGATGCTGAATGATATTGCAGTATCCTTGACCCTAAAGATGCGACATCCCTTGAGTATAAGCTTGATTCGTTCTCTTCAGTATACCGCCGTTTGACGGGCAAGGATGTGACGTTTGAGTTCCCCCCGGTAAACCAGGAGTAGATTACGCGATATCATGACACATATTCCGGTTCCCTGCATTCTCCGATAAAAATAAAGACATACCGCTTATGTCTTGTTTGCATTATGTGCTGTGATAAACATGTCATTGTCAAAGACTCAAAGCGCTGCAGCGCTGAGTGCTAGGTACTCCACTGTTCGGTGCCTGCTAAAGAGAATGTAGCGTGTTCGGCAGTGTTAGTTCATCCCTTTCATATAGCCGGATTGTTATATGAAAAAGCTCTTGTGGGCGCTCGTAGCAGTAGGTGGCAGGTTCGGCTTTATTTCGGCACGTGGTTTCTGTATCGCGTCTGCTAGTGTTTTTGAGTTGATTCATTTCATTGTCTTCCTTGCTTCTGTTGCTAGTCATTTTCTCTCCCTTTTCTCTCCCTTCCTCCCGCCCTCCGTGGCACTCCTCATTCACCTTCAACGTCGTTCTGCATGGCGGAGTATCCACGCATGGACCCGTACTCAAAGTCCAGGTATGAACACGGGATAGATGCCAAAATTGTGGTCATGGGCAATACAGGTTCGTTGTTCGGATACCAATCGAATATTAAGAACTTGATCACTGACATCCTCTTAACTAACAAAGGCGTGGGCAAGACCAGCCTACTCCATCGCTACACTCAGAACAAGTTCGATCCTAGGAACATGACGTCCACGACCGGGGCTTTCTTCGTAACTAAGAAAGTTCATGTCGACGGTTTGAAGGTTCGACTACAACTATGGGACACTGCAGGACAGGAACGATTTCGAAGCATGGTATGAACTCACTTTTACTTATGACCCTTCAGGTGATTTACCAGCATAATCAGGCCCCCATGTATTATCGCGGAGCAAATGCTGCACTTCTCTTGTATGATATCACGAATGCTGCTACGTTTGAGGACGTTCGGGGATGGTTAGCTGGTGCGTGGCACTACATTTCACTTTGGCAATTCTTTCCTGACACCATTACAGAGTTGAAGAAAAATTGTCCGCCAGAGCTCATCATTTATATCGTTGGTTCCAAAGCCGACCTACATCATCACAGACAGGTCACATCTGATCTAGCCCGTCTATCGCTGCATACTTGGTTTCCTCCACCGCGCCCCCCGACCCCCCCTCCGCCCCCTCCTCCCCTACCATCGTCAACACTATCTTACATTCGCCCCAGATTCACATCCTTTACTAGCATCAGATCAGTTCCTCTAAACAACCCCCCAATGAAGTCTTCTCCGCCACATAGCGCGTCCTACTTGGATCCCGCTGTTAGCCAGTCATCGCATTCATCTGTGCTCAAGCGATGCAATACTGGCCCTGGCCTTCCGAGAATAAAGACGACAGGTCTGGCCTTGAACAGGTCAAAAACAGAGGGTTCCCGTTCACTACAATCGCGATTTGGTTCACACTTTGGGCGGCATGCAGGAGGGTACGACGTCGCGGATAGCAGCAGCAATAGTATAAATGAAGATGAGGAAGACCTTGATGTCGATGACCAAGAATGGGGACTTCACAAGGGGATGGAACTTTTCGAGGTTTCAGCTAAAGATGACTTTGGTACGTGTGCTCGATCCCCATCTTGATTCTCTCATTCACCTATTTACCTACAGGCATCGAGAACCTCTTCGAATCATTGATTAATGCAATCATCGAGCGGAAGGATATCATTGAGCGCGAAAATGAGCTAAGGAAACGTGATAGTGTCTTCCTATCGACTATCAGCACGCCTACCTGGGCCGCTCAGGCCGAAGAAGAAGAGGCACGAGAGAAGGCTCGATCCACTTCAGGAGGTTGGAACTGTTGTGCCTCGTGATCTTGTCCCTGCCAGGTATCAAGACTTCTCAGCTATCTGCTGTCTTTCTACTCATTTGCATCTTACCGGTCCGGCATACATTCTCACATTGTCCAACATGTTCTCCCGTCACATCAATCTCGTTCGCCTGATATTCAAGTTCTCTTGTTTTCCTTCGTTTACAGGATGCTATGTTCTTTATGCCACTTTCTATGATTCCTACAGGTTCTCTCATACCACCGAACCTCGGGACCACTGTTTGCAATACTATTATTCACTTCCTTATCTCCTCATACCATATACTACCTTAAGTAGATACAATTTGTGCATGTGTCTATAGTCACCTCATTCAGCAATCTTGGAAGCTTCTAATCCCTTGCTAGGTTTGTGCTAGGCGGGCGGTATTTGTGTCAGCAGACTGACGAAGGGAGAACACCAAAAAAGGCAGGTAGGAATCTGATCATCAATGCTGGAAGGGATGAGCGCTCGAGCTATGAGTCCGTTTCGTTCCTCGACCACCACATCCCTCCTTCCCTCCAAGCCAATGGAAGGAGATCAAGCAGACAAGGTGTACAATGTGTGCACGCCAGAACACTGTTTTCGCGCTTTCGATGCATTGTACTGCGCGCTAACATCTAGCGAGCCTATCTCACCTAATTTCGTCGACGAGAAATAGTAAGTGGATCGTACGCTCCGATCTAAATGTGTGCTATAGTCGCGATTCTCTAGTCCATTATTTGTGACGTGGAATACCAGATCATCTCGCGCAGGCAGACCACCCAGACTAAGGGGCTGCATCGGCAACTTCGATGCCATGCCCCTTAGAGAAGGTCTTGCAGAATACGCATTGATCAGTGCATTCAAAGACTCTCGTTTCCGGAAAATAGAACGTCGAGAATTGCCGTCTCTCGAATGTGGGTAAGTACATCTCGCCTATCATATATATACTGATGCATTCAATTGTTGCGCGCTAGAATATCCCTTTTGACGGACTTCGAAGACGCATCGTCCTATTTAGATTGGACTGTTGGCACTCACGGGATCTACATTAGCTTCCCGAATCCATCATTATACCCACCATCTTCGAGCACACCTTCTCCTCTGTCTTCGTCAGCATATCTACCGCGATTCAACTCCAGAGACACTCTGACCGCGACGTATCTTCCAGATGTCATACCTGATCAAGGTTGGGATAAGGTTGAGGCTGTAGAGAGTGCTATGCGTAAGGCAGGATGGAATGGTGCCATCACAGAAGAGACGCTCAGGACCGTGAAACTTCGACGATACCAGAGCAGGAAGTGCGAAGTTGGTTGGGAGGAGTTTGTCCAGTGGAGGAGGGAGAACGGTGATGACGACATTTCATGATTAAATTTCATGATTCACACCTTGAGCATTGCAATGTATCAACATCAAATCGTCGCAGCTTGTACAGATATTAGGGTTAGATGTGTATGTACACATACGTGAATAGATTGGCAACTACTGCCCACCGCTCCCGTTGTCGCCAAATATGTTTTTCCGCAGCACATCCAACCGACCACCCCATCCACCACCGAAGCGCTGTTCAAGTTGTACAAACACCTTTCGCAGCTTTCCCGTATCATTACCACTGGCTTTGCCGAAAGATACCAAGATCCAGAAGATCAGCCTCTCACTCGGCATCACATCTGCAGGCAAATTCATAAAAGCCTTGAACACCTGATGGAGATTCTCGAGGTTCCAATCATTTTTCTGGACAGGACGGAGCCGCTCGGATAAAGATCCGGGAGTGGTCCGCAGGGGAAGCGGTTTCTGCGCGTGCCGGGCGAAACCGAGGAATATTCCTCGGAAAGCGGCAAGTGTTGGCTGATAGAGGGAATGTTCACCTGTCTGCTGATTGATAGGAGCCTTCGGTTCCCTATTAGGCGTAGAGAGCATATCCACGAAGACATGGAGCGCCTTCATAATCTGTCCATGATAGGCAAAAGCCTGGATCAAGGAGGTATACGTGATCTCGTCGGGTATTATATCGTCCCGTATGGCGATGCCCTCCACATCTAGCAGGTACTTGACAGCTGCCTCAATGTCATATTCGCCTACATCGAGCTCCGGTTGCAGATTGTGGCGCAGCACGCGGTAAATCGTTGAAGCGACATCCATGTGCCCATTCCGGGCATAGGCCCATATACATGCGTTGATCCCATCCAGACCAGGCTCAAAGCCTTGCTCTCTCATCTTCTGCAAGGTGGATCGAACACCTGACAATTGCTTTGTTCGCGTATAATAGTATAGCAATGATAGGTGGGTGATGCGGTTTGGTGGTAGCCCTGAGGCTCTGAGTAGATTAGACGCGTGGCGGATGGCGCTGGGGTCAAGCGAGCGGCCAGCGATGGAGAGGAGGGTTGTGTATGTAATGATATCGGGCTGCACATAACCTAAATCGGGCTCTGCGGCCAGATTCTCGTCGCCGCCTGGGTTATCAGAGGGCCATGGTGTGGTCATTTTATTGAAGACTTCCACAGCTGCCTTGTAGTCTTCGAGGCTGCATTTCCGCCATCGCTTTCCTGCACAGTCTAGCAAGGCATTCCACTCCCATAGGTAGATGCGACATCCAGACCGATGTAGCATCGTCAAAACAGCAGAAAGTCGTAAGAAAAGGGTTCGTGTTCGAGGTTTTGTAGAGGCAAGAAGGCGGGCAAGATGATGGAGGTGACGCTGAGGTATCTTTGGAACTCCGGAGAGGTGATGTATATGATGGGGGAACATGACTGTCAAGGTGTGGTATGCCTCCCACCCATCTGTTACTGAAGTAGCTTTCAATAAGCTGTCTAATAATTCTTGCCGTGTCTTCAGTCGGTCTGGTGGTGTCTCTTCGAGTGAATCTATGGGATTCTGATGGCCAGCGTAGTGAGGATTGGGGTAATGATGACATGGGTTTTGTTGACCGCGAGTTGGACAAATGCCAGCGTAATTGTGGATGGCTTCGACATCTAGAGACTCGTCTGTGGGCAGCGGAGCGCGGGACATCAAACCATCCTGTCCAGATGGGTCTAAAACGCGTGTCTGAAGTACAGCCGTGTCCGAATGATCTGCCAATGCTGCATCCTTGACCAGAGCGTCGTCTCCCTTGGCCGCGCTCACAGCGCGGCTCACCTCTCCTTGAGCTCTTCCTTTCATCATGTAAGCGGCATGAATACGACGATGGACCTGGAAAGTGCGAAATGTTGCCTGCCGCCGAGCAAAAAGTTGTTGAACTTGACGAAGCCAACATGATACTTGTGATGATGCAGGCGACAATCTGATGCTCGACGTGGAGCCTGCAAGCATGAATATCCAGTGCAGTCATCCTGTAGTAATGATTAGCATTACTCCATAATACGTGTCATGTACATACCGCGACTGGCACTGAATGAAGATGCTGGGAGAACCAGGTGGAAACCTGGTAGTAGTACTAACTGACGCGCTCGATCGGAGAATTCACTTACAAATGCCAAAAACAGTAATTCAAAATTTCCGGTCTTGCTGAAAATACTTCACAAAATGCTTCACTCTCAGGCTGCAATCTGCATGACTTTAAACATCTTCATGCACTAAACGACGCTTCATTCCATCTACTTTGTCGTGCTGAAGACATAGTATTTGAGAGTACTCTTGCTTTGAACATGCCGACACTTCGAATTTGTACGAAGCCACAACGCGTGAAATGAAAGGACCCTATACGCCGCGAACAAAAGAGGAACGACCGAAAGATCGCTATCAGCGACAAACTTTCAGGGGTGAAGGAGAGTACAACTCATGGGGAGTATGTAAGTGCGTAGTCTAAGTATCTAAGAATTATTGAGCCATACGATACTCCGTCGATAAACGGGGTCTGGGACGTTTTCTTCCGAGTCCAAGTGTGATTAATAAATTCAACCACTGTCGTCGAATACTGCGACCTCCAGAAATAGCGATTCCTGCGTTGATTGTCACGATTTCGAGAGCCACGCCATAGAAAATGTACGGTGACCTTGACTTTCGAGGCCGCTTCTATGCACATGGAGCCGCAATGCAACTTGAAATTTCCTCCAGGAACTGGTTGTACTCACTTTCATTTTCCAGGAAACCAGCGCCACCCTCTCCATCGATGATCGTATCAAGCGACTGTATCGAGTGTCCATGCTTCCCGAGCAGGGCCGCAAGGAACGCCTAGCAGTCCGAAAGTGTTTGAGAATGATGTCCGGGGAAATGCGCTGCAAGTTCACATAGGCATGTGCTGGCAAGATGCGCGACGAATGAAGCCATTCACGTGGGGTGCCCCAGAATGCGCAACGTCTCCAGGGCAGGAAACGCCGTAAAACTCGGCTGTTCCCACACCGCTACCTTCACCAAGTCTCATTGGAGTGTAACTGAGGTCTGTCACTGAGACGAAGGAGGGACAATGGTTGATGTTGGCAGGATCAGTGACCATGCGACCCTTTGAGGATGACGGGCTGGAGGGAGTCGAATATTACAAGCTCATTCAAGTCTATGGCCGTGATATCAAGTGTTTCGAACTCAGGAGCATCATGTGCTACCTGATATAAAATAGATTTATCTAGGCCAATGTCAATAGTTGAGACAATACCAAGGGACCGCAACGACCGAGGGAGCGACCGAGACTCCAGTGAATGATAATGGAGAGTGTGCCAGACGAGGTGATGCAGTCTGGGAAATAGGTGTTTTCGGCGCACGGCAGACACTCGTCGATACAGTAGAAGGTTTCGTGTGCGACGCCCAGATTCTGGGGACGGTATACCTGAACGCGGCGAGCGTATTTGTCAAAAGACTCCCATTCTCCAGGGCGTGGCATGCGAACCCCAATGCGTCCAAGTATCTTAAGACCCCAGGTTCAAGTTACTGTTGACCAGAATGAGATTAGAGTTTCAGAGTGTGATGCTGATACGTAGAATTTTATGGTCCTTGCGGACAGTGCCGAGGATCGGAATAATCACTGCGGAACGTAGACGTAGACCTCTCGGAAGCAGAGGCATGAACGGGGAATCCATCATATGCCATAGGCTGTCTAAGCATGGATATATGACCGCTTTACACGACTGCGCAATACGAGAAAGGGATCGGTTATCGTCTGAAGCAAGTTTGGCGATAATAAGTTGGAGGATCTCTTTAATATGTAGAGGTGTGGTCATTGTTGCAAATTTGGAGTTCAACGTTCAACGTTGTAACCATGACGTTTACCACGAAATTGTATAGGCGTAAGTGCGCTGCACCGAGCGGAATACAGCAACTAAGAATTTTGAAGACGAACAGTTGTTGCACACCTCAATGATCGTGGACGTACAAGTTGGCTCCAAGGTGTTGTTTTGCCCTATTTGATTCCGAGGCTTGATCTCGTGACATGTAGTAAGTACTAACTCTGCGTTCTCGTTCTCTCATCTTCGACATGGACAACCGAGACGACTTTACTTTTGCGAAGCTCTCTGATTTCAAGTTTCCTGTCACTTCGGATGTACGCATTACTAGTCAATTTGTGCACGCACCATAGTTCTCAGTTAGGGGGATCAATACAACAATCGTTGGTTTCAGTTCTACTGGAGAACCCTGAACTAAGATTTTACGGTGCTCAATTTTTGTATTGTAATATTATTCCCTGCTATGTAACTTTCTTGTGTTGATGCAATCTTTCAGACCTCTGTCTCCTGCTAGCTCCTGCCGGGATAACAAGCCACCCCTTTCATACTTCTTCCAAAGCTCTCAAGAACAACTACACGTACACTCCACCTTATATCACCGTTATCAACTCCAACTATCTACACAGATGGAACGAATGGATAACGCTGCCCATTCGGTATTGTGACCCCCCACTGAGTTCACAAACTATGTTTACTGTATGGGATATCGAGGCTCCACGCGTAGCGGTGCCCGTCGGTGGCTCAACGTTTAGGATGTTTGGAAAGAAATGGTTTGTCAGGTATATTTACATTGCATTGCAAGGTCGTTCATACAGTCACCACGTCAGGACTCTGCACACAGGAAAACATCGCTTGTTGCTCTGGGCAGGTTAAGAAGCAGACCATCGACGACTCCATGCAGACCAGCACACCAAGTAAACCTGGCAGCGGGGATGAAACGGGTTGTTTAGAGAAGGTAGGCTGTACCATAGCTCTCGAGTACGGTCGCTCATTACTTACCATTTCCTCAGCTCATGAAGAATTAAAAGTCAGATTGGCTAGACAATATGGCTTTCGGAAAGATGGAGCAGATATATGGTGTAAGTCTTCTGCAATCAAGTGCGAACGCAAACACTGAAAGAGGAGGACTGAAGGCGGAGACAGAAGTCAGGGAACAACATGCATCTTTATGTTGACCTTCCACGTTTTGACTTCCCGGTGGTATTTAGAGAATCTGTCGGTGTCGCTTTTTGAATGTACGCCACCTTGAAGTTCAACTTTCTGTAAGGGGCCTAGAGCTAGGCGACGATACCATTCATACCTGTACTTCCCAATTTTTTGCTACAGATCCACATCCCTGGGCCATTTCTGACCCCGAGATTGCACGCGAAAACCCTGTAGAGGACATACATCGCCAGCTAGTGCAGAGTCACCAAATTGGTCCGCACGACAGAGCTCAAATCTAATGCCAAGGTCAAAGATGAACTTAATGTGCCCAAAGCCTAACTATTATGCACTGATGCCTTCCTCACATGTTGTTTGTAGCAAATACTCGATTACGCACCTTCCAGCCTCTCAATTTCGAGGAGAAGGACTCCATCAAGAAGTTCCCCCTTCACCTAGCACGGGACAAGTGTGGGTTTACCAAGTTCCTCAAGTCTGTCACTTGACACAATCCTTCAGAAGTAAAGCAGGCAGTGGAAAAACTAATGCCGATGTGGACAGAGGTCGATACAGATGATGCTTTAGAGCTCCTCGGACCAGGGACCGTGAACTCGAGAGCATTTGCGGTACGGCAGTTTAATCATGCAGATGAAGTTAAACGTCATACTCGGTCCTTACCTGTTAGGCATAGGCGACCGGCATTTGGACAACCTTCTACTGGCATCGGATGGTAAGTGGAATCATGATTAACAGTATTTATATTTATTTCCAATATTTGCTCGCAGGTCACTTTTTCCATTGCTGATGTCACTTTCCCTGTACTTTTTGTACTACTGATGCAGTTGATTTTGGGTATATCCTTAGTAGGGGCCCCAATCCATTTCCTCCTCCCGTCAAATGTCCAAAGAAATGGTCGGGATAGGCGGCGTCCAATCAACGCAATTCAAAACTTCTGCTTCACCGCATTTACAATCCTCCGAAAAAGCGTTAACTTGATTCTCAACTTGGGGGCGCTGATGGTGGACGCGAACGTTCCAGACATAAAGCACGGTGACGTGCATGAGCAGATCCAGGAGAAGTCGTATGAATCATGGAGCATAGAACGAGTCAACTTGAAGGCGAATTTATTTTGCCTGTAAATAAAATGATTGCATTGTAAGGTTGATGGAACGTGACAATGAATTCCGAGGTAAGGTTTCTCTGCCTAGGAGCGACCTCACTCTCTCAGATCTTCTAGACAACGTCGATGCACTCCAGGACTCATCGTCATGTATGCAGACACATTGATTTGGCGGTACTAGAGCATAGCATGGATAGTCGTGAAAAGATGTAAAAAAACATAATGCCTAAGTAGTACGTCAAAAATGCAATCAATCCCTGGCCTTGAGCGTTCCCAGGAACGCGGCCTTTTCCTCGAAAGTTTGGAACGAGCCATGCTGAATCCAAAACGTGAGACGATTCCTTGAAAAGATAGCACATTGTACTTACACCGAACTTCGATGATGTATCGATGAACTTGAGCTGCACCTTCTCGAGGTCCCGACGCGAGGTGTGGACCATGAGCGACTTACGAAGGGTGATGACACGCTTCTTGGTACCAGGGATCGAGCCCTTGAGCATCAAGAAGTCGTTCTTCACAATACCGTAGTGGGGGAAGCCACCCATAGGCGTGATCGTCTTGTTCGTGATGTCAGACTCCGTAGAAGCGTTAGCTTCATCAGCGCCAGAGCCGATACGGTAAATCTTCTTGTTGAGCTCCGTGCGGTGGTGGTAGCCGTCTGCACGATTGCTTAATACCGCGACACCAGAAAAATAAAGCAATGCGACTTACTTTGACCAGCACGTGCGACGGAGAACATGACTTTCGAAGGATGCCATGCACCAATACAAGCGACCTTACGGAGACCTTTGTGAGTCTTGCGAGGAAGCTTCTTGGTACCCCAACGGTGAGTAACACCCTCGAAACCATGACCCTTCGTGACGGCAATAACATCGATCACCTCATCCTGCTCGAACAGACTAGAAACCTCCACAGGCTTCTCAAACAAGCCTTGTGCGAACTCGACCTTGTCTGCGACAGAGCCACCGTTAAGCTGGATCTCCATGAGGTGTGCCTTCTTCTGGCTGAGACCGGTCTTGCGAATCTGGGTGTGGGCGAGGACACGGACGACAGTGCAGTATTTGCGGATGCGCTCAAGCTCACGAGCAGTGGACTTGCCGCCGTCCTCTGCGTGCTTCTTGGCGTAGCGGGTGAAAGCCTTCTTCTTCGAGCGGTACCAGTTCTTGTAGAAGCGACGTTTGATCTCGTCTGATAGATGGGATGCCCAGACAGTAGTGAGAGTGCGGAGGCCACGGGGAGTCTCGACATAGCCAACGACACCAACAACGATCATAGGAGGAGTTTCTATGATTGTAACTGCCTCTACGACCTCGCGTTTGTGCATCTCTACACTCCCTTCAGATCCAAAATCTCTGGTAATCGAGTAGAATACGCACTGGAACCAGGACGGTCGAGGTCACGGACAACATGGGTCATACCAGCCTTGTAACCCATCATGGCGGTCAAATGAACGGGTTTCTTAGGGTCATCCTAAAGTAAATGCGCTGTTAGACGAGTTCTGACAAACATTCTTCTACTCGCGCACCTTGGGGAAGGACTTGACCTTGCCGCGGTGGCGTGCGGCACGTTTACGGGGGAGGAAACCGAGCGAACCATGACGGGGGGCTTCGTACTGAACAGATCAGAAAGTATAAGTCTCTCGAGCCTGCCCGTTTCTTCATGGCAGAAGACCAACCTTACGGTGACTATGGGTGCAAAATCCTGGTGAGTTCGATCCTTTTATAATGTTGGTTTGGCAGCCTGCTCACCTCATTTTGAAGGATCTTGAGGACGGTATCGGATGCGAGCTTGGCGTTGTGAACAGTACGGCGCAAGTTTGCTGGCAATTGCCGGATTTGTGGCTGATGAACTGTACAGTTGACAACTTGAGTTGCCGCGTCTCCCATTTTGGAAGTCCCCTAATGGCCACAGTATGGAAGATTTGCTTTGAACCTACACATACCCCGGGCAACAAATTCGATACCCATATTCCGTGTGATGCATAGGTGTTTCTGTAGTATTGTGATGCGGATATGAACAATGAATTGGCGCAGTTCATCTACCCTGAACCTCATCTAGCGGACAACCCAGAGAGCCTCAAAGTCACGGTCCATCCTTGGGTACTAAGTGCAGACCAAATTAATCACTTCGGATGTGATCCAGTCCTCCTTCGTAGTTCGCGTCATCGCGATACATAATAAATCCGGACCCTAACACGTCAGGCGCACCCGTGACACCATGAAGCTGTCAGCGGTGCCCTACTCTGATCCTTCCAGTATAACGAACTGAAGACTCAAATGATCACGAAATCCCAAAAAAAAAAATTGGCAAGTTCGGAACTGTACCATAGGTGACATTTGCAGCACAGATTAATTCCAGTCTGGCAATGTAGAGAGTCAGAATCTTCTTCGGAAGTACCGCGACCAACATACTGTACATGTTCTAATTATAGTACGTATAGTATGTACAGAGTACCCGACAGTGTTAATGCAACTGGAGATATCTCGTGCTATACATTGCTGTCAGGTGACTCCGCTATGCATTCCCGGAAAGCCATTGGATGAATGCCAGTTGTTCCTTCCTCGAAGGTGGGTATGAGCTTAGCATGGTATTCTCGAACACTGAGGATCAGGCGTGGTCCTGCCACAAACATCTGCAAGAGCATGGCAAATTCAAGAAGACCACGATAACTCTGAGCTCCCACAGAAGACGATGCCTATAGCAATGATGAATCCTCAAATGTAGATGTTGGTCATAGATTGGCATACCGAAAAATGTGGAGATATCAAGCCAATGTTGAGGCTAGAGCTAATAGCAAAACTAGCGTGTGGAAATTCAGCGGAAAAAGTCAACCGCATTCAAATCAAAGGCTCACAATACAAAGTAGAGGACATGAGTTTTGAGTAACACTGTGAAACAATCACCGATGATGGCCTGTCCTGTCGATCGCGGTCGCAGTTCACGCAGGTGTTTCACAACAATCCAGATTGCAAGACACAGTGTGAGGGCCTCCCATGTAGTAGCGACTGTATAAGCCTCGAACATCCGAAGTTGTTGGCTTGCATCGATTTCGTAGACGCACTGTGTGCCGTAGAGGAGGATCACCTCTGGTATTTGTTGCATGAGCCTGATGCACTTCGTGTCTTTGAGTAACTTACTTATCGAAAGAAGGTTGGTTCCCGCTACAGCAATTACTGCGGAGAAAATCGTGACAGAGACGAAGGTCACAACGAGAAAGATGAGCATCTTTCTGGATCGCTGGTACATGGCATGTAATCGAGAGATCATGATGACTTGTATGTCATGTCAGGCGATCTGATATGACTGAGGTACCTTAGCTCACCACTCAATATGCAATTTAAGGGCAGAGTCGTCCACAAGAGTACGAGGTCCACAGCATAGCCTGAAAAAGCCGAGTTAGTAGTGAGCCTCACCGTACTGAGGGTGTCAAGAAACTCACACCTGTTTCAGTCAGCATTTTGAATCAACAAGCTGGTGGATAATCCAACTCACTCCTACGTAGAAGTATGATTAGTTAGTAGGTATCGGTGCAGAATACTCACCATGTCTGTGGTGAAGACTCCCGGGAGATTTACTGGGTGCGACCAGTTAGAAGAAACGAATGCCGTGCATCGTGAGACATACCCAACATGTTGCCGCTGAATGTGAGAGATGTCTTATTAGCTCAGCACTGACTTATTAGCCTTGTGAACTCACACAGAGTATAATACTCCAAAGTAGCGCACCTAGAATATTTTGAAATCAGCACAAGTTGCCCACTGCGCTCACAGCAGAAGCTACGTACGGTGATATATAGAGCAGTCATGAGAGAACGGCGTTGCCTCTGACCCGAACTACTAAGTATATCGCCTTGCTCTTCTTGTACAAAACTGCTCACCCAGATCAACTCATACTAAAAAAACCATTTCAGTGAAATCATGATGGCTGCTCGGCAATAGGATCAACCTACCTCTTGACCGAATGTCAGTACTGGAGAATACCAATATAATGACATCAACAACTCCTTCCATAAGAGATCTTGCTCACCCCAGTCATAGACCACAGCAGCAGACGATGCGACTGCGAAACCATAGTCAAAAATAGAACGAGAAACAAATATCAACATTAATGGTTCTCCACGAACCTACAAAATAGTTGAAAACACGATACATATCGAGTGACCACGAACTGGGATCAGTTGGAATCAAGGGCATACTGCAAGCGTCTGCGAGTGGCGAACTCTGTGGTGGGTATATAACGCATTGGCCATGCCAACACCAGCGAAAATTATATACGCGGTCCCGCGGCGAGGTCCAGGCCGTGATGAGTGTTTTGAACTTGTTTTAAACTTGCAGTAACCAAGAATTCGTTCTTACGACCGGCTCGTGGTAAAACTCTAAGAAGCCCATTCAAGTCCAGAAGTAGCTTTCACGCGGCCCATCGGTCTGTCAGAGTGGAGTCGTGGGTGCCCTGTTACTGTTCTGAAGTACATCAACCCCAGCTGTGACCGATGGGCCTAAGTCAAAATTCTGCCCGCGAAAATTTGAACATGTGAGCTAGTCTCTTACTAGAGCTACGCCACTCTGACATAAGATATTATTCAGTATAACAGGCATCCCGACGCCACCGCTGGTTTGTTTGGCCAAGATGTCACAGTCGAGGTTGCTCATGACTCACAGCAATCTAGATAATGCGCATGGTCTAACAACCTGAAATTTGGCAGAACGTAATTTTTATTTACCAAGCCCTGTGCCTTAGGAATAATATTCAAACCAATCCAATACATATGTGAACTCTAACCAGCCCTGACTCATTTAAAATCTCAATCTAATTCTGAGTCCTGCGCAATTGTCGGTACAACCCTGCTTGGCTGACATTTGGCTGACATTCGAGTCTTAGCCTTTTACTACACATGAATGAATTACCTAATCGTGAGTTATGTAAATCAAATAACATCCACCTGAGTCAGAATGCGAGACTTGTGCAGGTGCTGGGAGCTCTGAAGATCTGAAGGCTTCAAGGCCAAACTGAAGTCCCTTTTGCAGCAACTGTGACCAGGCGTGATCCAGCTACCTCAAGAGTGTATCCATTATAATTTCTTAAATCCCTGCCATTTCATCAACATCTTCCATCCCCCCAAGTCACCATCAGGACAGAACAGAATAATATACAGAACCTGTAGTCTTGCCACCTGTGTGATTTAGGCCATCTTTATTTCCTCAGGGGACTCATCCTCAAACCCTTGCCATTTCATTTTGGAAGCACTGTTTCATATTCAACAAGCCAGCTGCAGCTGTAGACTCCTCACAGTGGTAGAAATTTCTGATGCATTAGTTACATTATCATT